TGAAGGATATTGATCTGTGGTTACAATATCTTGATATTAGGATAAATCTGGCTTCACAGAATGAATTAGGAAGTATTTTCTCTCCTTTTATCTTTTAAAAAGGTTACAGAGAATCGGTATAATTTTTTTCCTTAAATGTTTATTATAATTTGCTAGTGAACCCAATTGGGCCTGGTGCTTTCAGTTTTGGAAGGTTATTAATTGTTCATATAATTTTTTAAATATATGTAGACCTACTCAGATGGCCTACTTATTATGTGAGTTTGGGCAGATTTGTCTTTCAAGGAATTAGTTCATTTCATATAGGTTATTAAATTGTGAGCATAGGGCCGTTCATAATGTTTCCTATTCCTTTTAATGTCCTTGGGATCTCTAGTTATGTCTCTTTCCTCTCCGATATTAGTAATTTGTGTCTTCTCCCTTTTTTTCCTCATTAGCCTGGCTAGAGACTTGTTGATTTTATTATCTTTTCAAAGAATCAGATTTTGCTTTTCATGATTCAATTTCATTGATTTCTGCCCTAATCCTTTTCTTCTGCTCACATTGGATTTAACTTGCCCTTCTTTTTTTTTTCATTTCGTAAACTAATAGCTTAGATTATTGATTTTAGATTTATTGATTAATCTGTCTTCTATTCTGACATATGCATTCAAAGCTATAATTTCCCTCTAAGTACTGCTTTTGTGATATCCTACCAATTTGGATAAGTTGGTTTTTCTTTTCATTCAAAATATTTTTAAATTTTTCTTGAGATTTTTCTTTTGACCTATGTGTTATCCAGTAGAGTACTGTTTAATAGCCAACTTTGGGGGGATTTTCCAGCTACCTTTCTGTTACTGATTTTTATTTAGTTTCATCATGTTCTGAGTGTAGACATTGTACAGTTTCTATTCTTTGAAACTTGTTAAGGTATATTTTATCACCCAGAATGTGGTCTACCTTGGTGAATGTTTCATACGAGCTTGAGAAGGATATATAATCTGTTGTTGTTGGATAATGTAGTCTACAGATGTCAATTATATCTGGTTGATATCTAACAACCTTGCTGAATCTATCTGTCTCTAATAAAGAGTGTTAAAGTCTCCAACTATAATGCTACATTCATCTCTCACTCTTTGCAGTTTTATCAATTTTTAATCTTACGTATTTTGATACTCTATTGTTAGGCATTTACACATTTAGGATTGTTGTCTTCTTGGAGTATTGACCCCTTATCATCATGTATTGCCCCTATTTTTTCCTGATACTTCCCTTACTCTGAACTCTGTTCTGCATGAAATTAACATAGCTACTCCTAGATTCTAATTAGTGTTAGGATGGTATATTTTCCACCATTCTTTTATTTATTTATGTATGTATTTGTTGAAAGAAGATCTAGGAATAAATCTTTATTTTTAATATACAAAAACATTTATTTATATTTAAAGTGGGCTTATTGGCCAGGCATGGTGACTCATACCTGTAATCCTAGCACTATGGACGACTGGAAGATCACTTGAGGTGGAGAGTTTGAGACTACCCTAGGCAAGAGCAGGACTCCAGGTCTACTATTAAAGAAAATTTAAAAAACTACATAACAATAATGATAATAAAGGGGGGTTCTGGCTGGGCTCAGTGGCTCACGCCTATAATCTTAGCACTCTGGGAGGCCAAGGTGGGTAGATTGCCAGAGCTCACAGGTTCAAGACCAGCCTGAGCCAGAGCGAGACTTTTTCTCTAAAATTAACTGGGCATTGTAGTGGGTGTCTATAGTCCCAGTTACTTGGGAAGCTGAGGCAAGAGAATCACTTGAGCCCAAGAATTTGATGTTGCTGTGAGCTATGACGCCACAGCACTCTACCAAGGACAACAAAGTGAGACTCAGTCTCAAAAAAAGCCGGGGGCAGGTTCTTGTAGATAGCATACAGTCAGATTTTGCTTTTGAATCCACTCTAACAATATATTTTTTTACTTGGTGCACTTATACCATAGATATTTAAAGTGATTACTGATATAGTTGAATTAATGTTTACTGTATTTGTTTCTGTGTTGCATTTGTTGCCCTTATACTTTGTTACTATTTTTGTCTTCCATACCTTTTTTTCTGCCTTTGTGGTTTCAATTAAGAATTTTATCTGGCTCAGCACCCATAGCACAGTGGTTACGGAGCCGGCTACATCCATCAAGGCTGGCAGGTTCAAACCTGGCCCGGGCCAGCTAAACAAAATGACAACTGTAACACCATCAAAAAAATAGCCAGGCATTGTGGTGAGCGCCTGTATTCCCAACTATTTGGGAGGCTGAGGCAGAATAATCACTGAAGCCCAAGAGTTGGAGGTTGCTGTGAGCTATGATGTCACAGCACTCTACCAAGGATGACATAGTGAGACTGTCTCAAAAAAAAAAGAAAGAATTTTATCTGATTCCATTTCCTCTCCTTTTTTAGCATATCAGTTATACTTGTTTTGTTTTTACTTTTTTAAGTGGTTGCCTTAGAGTTTGCTATATACGTTTGCAACTAGTTCAAGTCTGCTTTCAAATAACACTATACAACTTCACAGGTAACACTAGTACTTTACAATAATAAAATATTTCTAATTCTTTCCTCCTCTCCCTTGTATCATTGCTGTCATTCATTTCACTTATACATAGGCCTACATAAGCGTACACACACACATACACATATACGTGCATAATCACATACATCGTTGTTTTACTATTTTGAACAAAATGTTGCCTTCGATAAACTAAGAACAAGAAAAACAAAAATTTTTATTTTACCTTAGCTTATTCATTTCCAGAATCTCTTCCTTACTTTATGTAGATCCAAGCTTCAGCTGGGCATAGTGGCTCATACCTGTAATCCTACCACTTCGGAAGGTCAAGGCAAGAGCATCACTTGAGGTCCCGAGTTTGAGACCAGCCTGAGCAAGAGTGAGACCCTGTCTCTACAAAACATAGAAAAATTAGCCAAATGTGGTGGTATGTACATGTAGTCACAGTTACTTGGGAAGCTGAGGCAGGAGGATCCCTTGAACCCAGGAATGTGAGGTTGCCATGAGCTATAATGATACCACTCTAGCCTGGGCAACAGAGCTAGAGTTTGTCTCAGAAAAACAAAAGATCTAAGTTTCTAACGGATATCATTTTCCTTTTCTCTGAAGAATTTATTTTAACATTTCTTGCAAGGCAGGTCTACTGCCAACAAATCCCCTCAATTTTTGTTTGTCTGAGACAGTCTTTATTTCATCTTCTCTTTTGAAGGATAATTTCCCAGGGGACAGAATTCTAAGTTGATAGCTTTTTCTTTCAACACTTAAATATTTCTCTATTCTTGCTTGCTGGATTTCTGAAGTGAAGTCAGATGTGACTGTTACCTTTATTTCTCTGTGGGCAAGATATTCTTTTCCATTTGGCCTCTTTCAAGATTTTTTTAATTTAATTTAATTTTTCTGAAATTTGAATACAATATCCTCAGGTTTAGTGGGGTTTTTTGGAACTTTATCTTGCTTGGTGTTCTCTGGGCTTCCTGGATCTGTGATTTACTGTCTGCCATTAATCTGGAGAAATTCTCAGTCATTCTTGCTTTAAATATTGCTTCAGTTCCTCTCCTTCTTTTCCTTTTTATATTCTCATTAGATGTGAGGCCGGACATTAGAATAGGGAACACAGGTGACAGGAACAGCATTTGGGTAAGGGATCAATGATAACAAACGCTGCAGTTGAGCTGCCATTGTATCCATCACAAAACACTTCCTTTACTCCAGTTTGAGAAAAGCCCTCTGGAGGCACCTGAACAAGTGAAGGGCACAAGTGTCCTCAAGTAACCCTGACTTCCTTATATCATCCATACATTATTACCCCCGTGACTGGACTTTGGAAGCCATGACACATCCAGGCCTGAACAAACCAAGTAAAAAAAAATTCCCTCAGCCAATGGACAGAGAGGATAACATTCTCATTGGTGGGAGAAATGACAATGTAGGGGGAAAGAAGGAAAATGGGAACCCAAAGAGACCCCAGGGCCACTCTCTGCTTGGACATGTGCCTGCTCTGACCCCTTCAGATTATACTATCCGTTGTTTGCTTAAATAACTTCTTGGAGTATTAATCACTTTTAACAGCCCACTAACATGTCTGTTTGAGGGTGGTGCCTGTGGCTCAAGGGAGTAGGGCACTGGCCCCATATACCAGAGGTGGTGGGTTCAAACCCGGCCCCAGCCAAAAACTACAAAAAAAAAAAAAAACCCAAAACATGTCTGTTTGGGAGTATGTTTGCTAAATAAAACTTTCTGCTCATGCTTCCCTTCTACTTTGCTGTTTGTTTTCAATTCTGAGTTACTGGATACAAGGACCAAGAAAATCGCACGGTGATTAGATGTGAGGCAGGAGTGTGTTACTTAGTAACCACGTGAATTAATCTCCTGTTGTCTCACAGTTCTTGGATATTCTGTTCTGTTTTGTTCTAGTTTTTGTTTTTCGGTACTTTTTCTCTGTGCCTTTTACTTTGGGAAGTTTCTCTGTTATATCCTCACACTCAGAATCTCTTCAACCTGTGGAGGTACACATTGAAAGGCATTCTTTATTTCTGGTGTGGTGTTTTGATCTCTAGCATTTTTTCTGATTTTTTCCTTAGAATTCCCATCTTCATCGCTCTGCTTACATTTTCTATGCTGTTCCTAAAGGTTGTCTATTTTTTACATTAGAACCCTTAGCATATTATTCATAGTTATTTAAATTCCCAGCCTGATAATTCCAAAATCCTTAACATATCTGACTCTAGTTCTGATGCTTGTTCCATTCATTCATTCGTTCCTTCCTTCCTTTCTCTCTCTCTCTCCTTTCTTTCTTTCTATAAAGCTACATCTTCTTTATTCTGCATACTTTAATTCCAAAACAAAATAAACACAAAACAATATGCAGCATCCAATCCCCTTGGTCAAACTAGGGAGGGAATAGGGCTCGAGACCCATGTTTCCTGCCTTAGACACAAGGACAGGCAAGAAAAGAAAAAGTAGACATTAGTAGAGGAAGCCAAGCGGGACAGGACCACTCAAGGCTGTGGGACCATGGGTACACGATTCAGAGGGCAAAAGGTATCCAAGTATAAACTCCTCATCTACTTCTTCCGTGTGAGATGCATCCTCATCACTCTCAAGGGGTGGGATCTCCTCGGAGCAGCAGCACTGGGTTCCTCTGCTGTCACTTCATCTTCATCAGTGCAGCTGGAGTTTGGGGATCCTGAAGGGAGAAGCCAAAGGAGAGCAGTGCAGTTTCAAATAGCAGCACCACCAGGTCCTTGACGGCCTTGTCACTTTTGTCCACCTCAGCCTTCTGCTGCAGTGTCTCCATGGTGGGGAGTCACGTGGTGATTAGACGTGAGGTAGGAGTGTGTTACGTGGTCAGGTTCATCTCCAGGTGTTTTTGACCATCATATAGCTGGAGTTGTCTGGAAGTGCCTGGGCTCCTGTGATCTGCTCCACGTTGGCCGTCCAGCCGTAGCTCCTGGTCCCAATGCAGCAGGCTAAAGACACAAGCCTACCGGAGACTGTCACCTTCTCAACCTTCTGATCCAAGGGGTTCTCCAACTTTGCTTTGGTCTCTTCCATTTTCTTCTTGTCTTCCTCATGCTTGGGTAGCTTCAGGCCCTCCATGGTAACTGAGCCCAGGCTCTTCTCATCTAACTCCTTGACCTGCTACACGCAGTGCTCATCATATATACCACCTCAAAGCCCTGCTTCCGCACTCGCTCCACAAACGCCGGCTTGGCCACCTGCTCTTTGCTCTCACCAGTGATGTAATAGATGGACGGCTGTGTTTCCTTCATAGAACAGAGAGAGACGTACTCTGACAGAGAAGGCATGTCATCTCCAGATTTGGGAGGTATGTTGCAGGTTAGTGGAGTTCTCATGTATTCCAAGCTTCAAATTTTTAGAAAATGCCTCATAGGGTGGTGCCTATGGCTCAAAGGAGTAGGGCACTGGTCCCATATGCCAGATGTGGTGGGTTCAAACCCAGCCCTGGCCAAAAACTGCAAAAAAAAAAAGAAAATGCCTCATAAAATTTCTTATAGTTCTCCTTTTCTTCTGCCAACTCAGAAAAGAACTAAAGGTATTATGCCCTAACTCCATCTTGCTAAGGGCTTTCAACACTCTCACTTTAAGACAGAAAGCTCAGCTGAAAGAGTTTAATAATAACTGCAAACCCCCAGCTTTCCCTTGGAAGGACTCCCCTTATCAGGTGATGGCTCTTGTCAAATTTGACTTGCATTAAGGACTCCCCTCCCTTACTGAAAGCCCCTTATAAAAGGTTTCCACCCCTGCTTCCAGGGGGTCGAGAGACTTTGAGGCAGGAGGCCGCTCTCAGCCTGGCTGGTCAATACTTGGCTTAATTTGGACTCGGTGTGCTGGCGTTTCTCTATTCCACTCACTTCAGGTGTAACAAAGGCACTACTTTTTTTTTTTTTTTTTTGCAGTTTTTGGCCAGGGCTGGGTTTGAACCTGCCACCTCCAGCATATGGAGCCGGTGCCTTACTCCTTTGAGCCACAGGCACCACCCAATAAAGGCACTTTTTAACAGTGTTTTTGCAAATCACTTTTGGGATTTTGCTCTGCTGAAGCATTTCTCGGGAGATGTCCAGGGGCAGATCCTCAGAGTCAATCACAGATAAAGTTGAGATACTCTGATATCAACTCATCACAGCTGTCTGTGATGAACAAACAACAGACATAGAGTTTAATGTTGTTCTTTTTCTTTCTGTTCTCAAACAGGTCAGAGGGAGCCCAATGAGGGATGAAAAGCAATGCCCTGAAGCCCGACTGACCTTCTACAGGAAAGTGCTTGACTGCAAAGGGTCTTCCCAACCATGGTGAGGCTCTTGAAGAATTCTCCATACTCCTCCTGGGTGATGTCATCAGGGGTTTTGGTCCAAATGGGCTTGGTTTTGTTTAATTCTTCCAGATCAATGTATTGTTCCTTAATCTTTTTGGTTTTCTTTTTCTTATCCTTACAGCGGTCATCCTCCTCATCTGAGCCCACATCTTGGATCTTGGTCTTCTCTTCATCATCTTTATCTTCCTCTTCTTTCTCACCTTTCTCTTCTTCTGCCTCATCGTCACTGCTTTCCTTCTCCAAGTAAAGGGTGTTGGGATAGCCTATGAACTGTGAATGCTTCTTCACTACTTTTTTGACCCACCTCTTCTCTGAGTTCTCTGTCTGGTCTTCTTTCAGGTGGAGGCTCACGTTGGTGCTCCTGCCAATGGGCTCACCATGATCAGCACGAACAGTGAAGGAATCCCCAGCAGAAGATTCCCAGGCACACTGTTCATCTTCGTTGTGTTTTGTGATCATGACCACCTTCTCTGACACTAGTTAATCAGGATAAAAGCCAACACCAAACCGCCCAGTCATGGAGATATCTGCACCAGCCTGAAGAGCCTCCATAAATGCTTTAGTACCAGACTTTGCAATAGTTCCCAAATTATTTATGAGATCAGCCTTGGTCATGCCAATGCCTGTGTCCACCAAGGTCAGAGTTTGTTCCTGAGGGTTGGGGATGATGTCAATTTTTAACTCTTTACCACTGTCCAACTTGGAAGGATCTGTCAGGCTCTCATAAAGAATCTTGTCCAAGGCATCAGAAGCATTAGAGATCAACTCTCGAAGGAAGGTTTCCTTGTTGGAATAGAAAGTATTGATGATGAGAGACGTGAGCTGGGCAATTTCTGCCTGAAAGGCAAGAGTCTCCACCTCCTCCTCTCCACAGTGCATGTCTTCAGGCATCTTGAAGAAACAGGGCTACAAGTATTAGAAATCAGGTGGGTCGGGCTGTCCAACTCACACGCCGCACCACAGCTATGCAGGGGTGACTCAACAGTGTTCAGTTTTTACAAGCTGTGTTTTTCTTTTCTTTTTTCTTTGTGCTTTGTATACTACTATTCTGTTAAAATCTTAACATGATGAACTGGATAAAAGAAATCCAATAAATGGACTTTTATGGATAGGGTGTTAAGGTTTGAGGAAACGTGAAGCATTCTGTAGTTCTATGATTAAATCACAGTGTTTTTGCGAGCCTGTGCTGTCCCATTCCCCCAGATAGGTTAAGGTCTGATAAAAACCCGAGAAGTTAGGCTTTGGTGGTATAATATAACAATATATTTGGTCTTAGTCTCCTGGCACAATGCTCCTAAAACCCTTGGAATTTCCTGAATGATGGGAGTCTCTTTTGTTATTTGTAATGAACCTCTTTCGGTCACACCTACATTTATGCTAATAAGGTGACTTAGTGTAGGACCCTTAGAAGGCCTCAGGTTGGGCTGGTCACTCAAAAGACCAAATGATTAGAAGATTGGAACTTTCAGCCCCACTCCCTGGGAAGGGGATCAGGTTGTAGAGATTGAGCACCATAAAAATTTTGAACAAGAAAATTTAGACAACTTCTAAGTTGGTGTATCCATCCATGTGCTGGAAGGGGGGTGTACCCTAACTCCATAGGAACTGAAACTTCTGAGCTCAGGACTTAGGGTGCAGTCTGGAAGAATGTACTTCTCCATCCTCCGAAGGATCGTTCATGTCCTTTATAATAAACCAGTAAACTTAAGAAAAGTGCCTTCCTGAGTTCTGTGAGCCATTTTAGCAAATTATTCCACCTAAGGAGAGTCATAGGCACCTCAGATTTAGAGCAAATGGTCAGAAGTATGGGTGGCCTAGGACTTGTGATTGTTGTCTTAAATGAGGCAGTCTTGTGGGACAGAACCCTTAAGCCTATCAGTGTTAGAATTGAATTGAATTGTTAGACATCCAGTTGATGTTCAGAGAATTGGAGAATTTGTTGTTGGTGTTGGAAAACACCTCACTCTGATAAAATAGTTCTCCCCAGAGCAGGTCTTATTAAAAACAGAGTGTTTTGGTTTATTTAAAAATGGAGACAAACTCGGTGGCGCATGTGAGTAGTCCAGCTACTCAAGAGGCTAAAGATCACGTGAGCCAGGAGTTCAAATCCAGTCTGGGCAACATGGTTAGACCCTGTCTCTTGAAAATATAAAATAATAAACAAATAAAAACACACATATGGAGTTTTAAGGGTAGGATTTCATATCATTTATATATGTATTTATCCTCTAATACTCTTTAAATCACCTCTACATTATCTAAGTCCTCATTTAAAAAAGATAAAAAGGTGCCCTTTCTCCTTTCCCCGCAAAAAGCATGAGGAGGTTTTTCTCCAGGGAGCGGAGTTCCAGGAGGAAAAACTCATAAAAGTGTTGGGGCCCCCGACGGGTTCCCCTGGAGTTTCTAACTCTCTGGCTTACCCACACTGCACCTCCAGTGATTGCAGTTTACCTTTTCCTATCCCAGCATTCACTCCTGCAGAGGTTGCTGACTCTGGGTTTCCGCTTGGTGAACTGTGATTCCCTGTATCTGTCTGCCTGCCTTTGGGGGAAGTGGTTTGCCCTGTGACTTTGCTTTTTTTTGGCAAGTTCAATAATTGCTGTTGATTTTTCTGTTTGTTCAGCTTTTTGCTTGTTAGGATGGAGTGGTGACTTTTATGCTACTTACATGCAGGAACAGAAACTAGATGTCCTAGACAGTGCATTTGAGTTGTTCTTGAGATAGCCAGTACACCAAAGCATATTTAACCTGGCTTTCAGTAAGCTGGAGGTATAAACCCAAAGAATATGAGTGTACAAATCCTCGGTGAAGTCATGGAGGGTATGAAGTTAATCTCGTAGCAAGTGAAAGACAGGCTTGGGGAATTCCAACATTGAAGAGGCAGGATACAGTTTTGAAGGAATGGTAAAGATATAATCACTCTCTGATAAAATTAAGTTTTCTCTGGTACCTTGTTATTGCTCATATAAATTTATCAAAAGTTCATTACCTTTTACTCTTTTACACCTACACCTCCCACACCTCAATTAACTAAAGTAATTATATTACATAATCTGCTCATTCTAGGGCAATTTTTAAAATGTAGGCTTTTAAACAGTAGAATAAAATATTTCACACTATCTTTTAAATAAGGTTCTATAGATTGTTCAGTAAATCTTTCGTTTAAACATATCACTTTGAAACAAAGATATTTGATTTCAACTGGCAGTCTAGTGAAAGCTTTGAGTGCTGAATTATAAACCTCCAAGAGCAGGATTAAACTTCTAGATACTGGAAGATTCCAGGAAACAGCAACATTTCTGCATGCTACGGTAAAATAAAGGCGAGAGGGACACAGCTGCCAAACTTTATATTATAATTAAATCACGTTTTACTGACATAGCTTTGGTTTAAAGTAGAATGTTTGTAGGGATTTTCAATCAGATAAAAATAGGGCTGCTGTTTTCCCTATACCAATTAACATAGTTGACATTTAGCCAGATCTGTCCTGGACACAGCAGGGGATGTACAGTTTGTCCTGGTTTTGTGGGAAATGAAAAATGCAGTACTTGGCATAAGAAAAAATATGTGAACCCAAAACATGTTGTCAAATATAGCACGTCTAATTAAGTGAATTGACTTGCTGAAGGGTAGTCTCTGCTTTCGAGAGAACAAAGTAGGAAGGAAGACTCTCTGGACTACAAATAAACATTGGGGACCCAAGTCTAACCATGAATAGTATATGATTATACATAAACATACTTGGTTGAAGATATGTTGCTAGAACTCAGTTACATATGCAATTCTTCTTCCTGTGAATTGCAGAAAGGCCCTGGCTGTGGCTCATGCACAGCACATAAAGACATGTTAACAATTTTTAGCACAGGCTGGGCGCAATTTGACAGGGCTGGGTGGGGAGATCTCTTGAGACTAGGAGTTGGAGGTTGCAGGGAGCTATACTGGTGCTACTGCACTCGAGCCTGAGTAACAGAGCAAGACTCTATCTTAAAAAAAAAAAAAAAATTATCACAGAAAGACTGCTTCAATGTCATCTAATCCAATTCTTTCATTTAGAGATGAAGAAAATTGGTCCTAGGGCTGTTAAATTGCTTTCATCAAGTCACACTGATGCATTACTCTCTCAGAACTTCTGCCACACACATCTTTCAGCTCATGAACTGAAAACTTTAGTAATATTTTAAATAACCAGAGTGTTTAAAAAATACTTAATTTTGACTCATTGAAAATTATGTTAACTAATGTTTTGAAAGAAAAGTATTTTTATAACTTCTTAAAAATTTATTGAAGGTGTCTTAGCTCGTAGTCTCACCTTTACAACTAGTAGGTCGAAAACAACTATAAGATTGCTGCTATTAAATGATTTTTGTACCCACAAAAATAGCACATTTCATATGGTTCAATATAAAGTATGAAAGTAAACAGAATTAAATATTCAAATAACTTGGCTCGGTGCCTGTGGCTCAAGTGGCTAAGGTGCCAGCCACATACACCTAAGGTGGCGGGTTCAAATCCAGCCCAGCCTGCCAAACAACAATGATGGCTGCAACCAAAAAATAGCCGGGTGCTGTGGCGGGTGCCTGTGGTCCCAGCTACTTGGG